CTGAAGCAAGTATTGACAGCACTGTCAGTCCCTGAGGGTAACACTCACACACACAAATACACACACTATCCAAGGTGCACAGACACCTTCAGTTAAAGCTTTGTAATGAGGTCATATTCACTCATTTTCTTCAAGCTGTCTTTTTCAATCCTTTTTTTTCCCAGAGAGTAACAGCCCACACTTAAAGTCAAAAAGTACACACATACCTTGGCAGGCTGGGGCGTGGAGAAGTTAAGCCAGGCAGGGACAAAGTCATGCTGCGCCATTTAGGTCCAGTGTTTCCGGTCAGTGGAATGAGGCATCAAACCTCATGGCCAGGATCTACAAAGAGAAACCGTTACAAGGACTTATATTTTTACACTCATATTCCCCAATTTAACATAAACCTCTGGCACGTAACCAAACTTCTTTTTACTGACATTTATATTTGATTCCATCTAATCTCTTTTGAGGATTGTGTCTGGAGTCAGTCATTTTGAAATCCAGATCTAAGATAAGATCTCTCTTAAGACAAGCCAAAAAGGATCCTATTCTTAGCAGAAAACAACAAAGCTTGACTCGCTGCAGCTGTGCCTGTGAAGCTGATATCTGGTGGACAGCTTGGATGGGAAAAATCTGCTGCCCACAATACAAGCATTACTTTTAAAACATATGTGCTTCATTTAGATAACCAACTATTACTATGTAGCTTGATTTGACTTGATTCACCTTTGAAAACTATTGTATGCATACCGTGGTAAAATAAAACAGTCAAGTTACTACCCTAAAAATGTCATCAAATGTAGGTACTTTGAACAATGCAATTGCAATTAGTGTGAGCCATATGAACAAAATATGCAATATGTGATCACACTGTTCAGAGTGAATATTAGATATAACTCTGTTTCTTCTTTTAGACAAAACATGTATTTGCAACATTTTCCTCAAGAATCCAAAATAAATGCTAAAGCATTTTTTTCACTATGTAATGGGTGATACTAAACTGAGGGTAGCTGATAGTAGCTGACTGTAAGCATACTGAATGAGGAAGTATTTCTTATTTACTAGAGACGCACCGATTGTGAAAATCAGGGTCGATACTGATGCTTTAAGTAACCATTATTCCAACTGCCGATTTTGATGTTTTTGTCATCACTTCTTCATAAATATTTGTCTCTGTTTTTAAAATAGGCTATAATATTTGATGTATTTTAATTTTCTTGAAAAGACACTGGAGCATGTCTTCTAAACTGAATGTTGTTGATCTTTCTTGTCTTTAACGTTTGACCATAAAAACAAATCAGTTTGTCAGACGGGATTTCTGCAGACACAAAACTTTTTTTCCTCTGAATTAGCAGTTAGGTATAATAGCTTATCAGCATTATATTGATGCAAAGCAACCAATACACATTAGCTAGCGATATCGGTGCACGGCACGCCAAACTGACACACCCTCATTTATATATCCAAAATCATTTTGCTTATTTTTTTGATGAATTCAGACTTGTGGGATGTGCTCATATTGCCATAACATTGAAACTGGGATTCATTGTGCAGCCCTACCATTCAACTGGTAACAGAAAGTGTATATATTACAGTCAGATCTAAGTTAATTTACCAATCCTGGCTGACCTCATCGGAATCATGTTGTGTCTGAATTGTTTTTACCTTTCTAGTAGCTAAAATGCTGAACTTGTAATTCAATATTCTATTATCAAAGACTGATAGTTGATGTCTGCGATATTGCCATGAAAAGTGAAGTCTGCACTTGCATGTTTTACACTAAGTCAGTTATGTGCAATATATCCAACTTCATCATTACCCCAGAGTCTGTGGCTCTGAAGTCCTCTGCCTCCTCTCTCAGTCCGGCTGGGCTCGCTTCCTCAGGCCTGTTGGCACTGATCACACTGATCAAGTGTGTGCACTGACAGACGGGGAGCAGCACGCCCACGACCCCCTCTCCACCTCCACCAGGACAACACAGCCCTTTTCCCCAGAGGCAGATCCCTTCGTCCAGGGTGAAACACTGGGAGATGGGTCAAAAGGTCGCAGGAATGATCTGGAATGGCGATCCAGAAAAAGCCGGCCCGGTGAAGAGTAGATTTGTGTGAAGCAGAAGGGTATCGGTTTATAAGGCGACAATTTTCCTCTTTGAACCAGATTCTGGCGCAGCTTGTGTGCCGGTCACGTCTCTGAGGAATTCTGTGCTACAGTTTCCAGTTCGGGCAGATTAAATCCTTCACAGGCTCATCTGAACCATTTGCCCTCTTGTCAGGAGCAAAACTGATTGGACTTTATGCTGATTGGTAAATAAATGGATGGGTACTTTTTTACTCAAAGGCAGCAGTCTATGGAAGTCCTCTGCCCTGGGATACAGACAGCAGTTTGTGTAGCAGTTCCACTTTGACACCAGATGGATGGGGAGAGACACAGGTGTTGCCTGCCACACTGCGTGCCAGTAGGTTTTCTCGTTGACCTTTTACCGAATCATTTTAAGAGCTACCGAAACGCATGCAGAAAAGAAAAAAGGTGTTCAGGGACAGTCTTTTATCGGCAATGCAGGTCACCAAAAACCACTGCTCACCTCATTAAACTGATGAAGAGGACTGTCTGAGTTTGAAGAAAATAATGATCAAAGGTTCAAAGTCACATGACAATGAAGGAAGTTAAACCCTATGTTACATTGCCGTCATTTTCAGTTATTGTTAATGAAATAGAGATGCTGCTGAATGATGCATTGTAATGTCGTCTTTCTCGTTATAGGTTTTAATATCACATTTGTAAGATGCCCATTTATCTATCTGGGGTTTTCTGAATGAAGCAGATTGATCGTGAAGTTCTGATTTCATAGATGAGCAAGCTCGAAAATAAGCAAAAATCTCCCGACGTCAAACGGTCTTCACGTCATGTCACGCGATGCACAACAGTCCTTCAGCAAAATGTGTATTTCCAAAGCATTATCCTCAAGACGTCTTCAAGATGTTCTCTGGGAGAAAAGTCGAGCCTCTTCTTCACTTGAGTTTGTTGGATGAGTTTTTCAGTGTGGTTGTCTGTTCTCTCACCGGGTGTTCACTGGGATCTGCACAGGTACAGACTGGACCTGCAGTAAACATACACAGCATTAGTTATTGTTATCAAAAAGAAACACACACATACTTACACCCTGAAGTGAGCTTATTTGATGTTATATTAGATTCTGTATGATAAGGCCGTTCCAAAATGTCCCTGAATAGCATACCTGTGTTATATCCATATATCTAAAAGGTATGTCAGATATTACTAAAGGAACTCCCCATGCTCCCAATACCGTATTAAACCCCAAAATAACTTCTGATGGAAGAAACTCTGACATCTCTCCATGAGTGCACGTCCATAGGATCCTGTTTGTGCATGTGTGTGTTGCATGACTCACATGCAGTGTAAAAACTGAATTTCCCCTTGCGGGATCAATAAAGTAAATATTAATCTTAAACAACTAATGCCTGAAAAGTTTGCGTTCAAGAGTTCAAAATACACTTTCAGAGGGATGTCAGGAGAAAAAAAACAACAACCATGAGTTAGTGATCTCAGAGCCTTTCCATGCAGAAAGCTGCCTCTTTGATAAAACTGTGTCGGCTTTGGTAAATGAAATATTTATAAAAGAAAAGTTTAAAAATAACTTGGGACACTTTCTTCCTCCAGACTGCTGTGGAGGCAAACAAGCCTGTCAGTTTGTGTAATAAAGCGGGATACAACTTTCACAGGCAAATCTTCGTCTCTACAACTTTAAATTTAATATAATGAAGCTTCAAAACTGTAACTTACAGAAAGCCTGCACACACACACACACACACACACACACACACACACAGTCAGAGCTGGTGGTGTTGTTACATAACACAGCAACATCAATGAGTTTACCACGGACATGCACTGTACTGAGGAACAATACCAACGTAAAGAACACAGTAATATGTCTTTTAAAGAGCCTGTAATGTACTTTAAACTATCACACACTGAAATAAGTCCCAACACATCTTCAGTCACGTTACATGCACGTTTCCACATGCTAACTAGCCCAAAGATGTTGTGGATTTACTTGAAAGTGCATAGAAATGATTCAAGCTGCAAAGCGGCCTTTGCTGGACGACGTTAATGATACACTGTTAACAAATCTGTCCTAACTCTGCAGCTAGCTGACTCTGTAGAGTTTACTAAAAGGTGATCGGTTGCATAGCACTTGCTAGCTGAAAGCTATCGATACTCAGACTCTCACCGAGCACACGAAAACTGCGAAGTGGGTTTAAAGAATTAGTGTAGTTAGAGGGGGAAACAAAGCAGTAACGTTTTTAAAATGCCCGTGGTGGGTAAATGCATCTATTGAAGCGACTGTCACGGACATACAATAGAGGTAAACAGACCTGGCTTCGCTGGAACAACACAGTTTCAAAATGGCTACCTTAGCAGCACACATTCATCAGCCTGCTAACTAGCGAGCTAACTTGCAGGGTTTTCATGACGATAGAGTGAAGCTTTTACCTTCTCCTGAGCACGATACACTCCAATGTAGAAGTATTCAAATGTGTGTATGTCCTCTAAATATGACCAACTTAACACCTTTCGTAACTACGAAGGTTTGAAATAAATCGACTGTAGATGTTTGTTTGGGTTTTCGTAGCGCTGACCACTGGCGCTGGCACTAACAGCCTTAATGAGGGTGCGTTCAAGAGCCGCCGTGATTATGCAACCTTACGAGGTTCCAATGTGTTTTTTGGTTGTTTTTTTTAAAGGTTAACCCGGCGTTACAGTTCGATTTTTGTAGACTGTTTTCTTTTTAAATTAAACAAAAAAAAAAGAAAGAAAAGAAAAGCACGCCAATGCCTTGTATCACAAAAAAAAAACAATCACGTAATCTTAAAAAATATTAATGGTGGTTTCACAATGTTTCGTGACTTCGCTTCTTGAATATAACTTGATATCTCCCCACCTCCCCCCCCCCGCGCCACAGGCAGCCAAACCAATCGATATCAGAATCAGTCCCATTCAAGCTTGGGAAGATAAGAAGACAAGTGTTTAATCGAGCACCGATGTAAAGCAGGCAGCAAACGACCTCTAGTTTGTTGTCTGCAGTTAACATTAACTTTGCAACTATTGACTCTGTCGGTGGCTGTAATGTCCCTTACAACCCAGTGACGTGAAACACTCTTAAATGGTAACGTTCAGGTAACGGAGCTGGTGTGGTTTCTACGCTGTTACAGTAGAGTAAGTCTATATTGCGTCAGGTGGAGCAAGTGGCTGTTTGCTAACTGTTGTAGCACCAATGTTAGCCTTTATAGTTACAAAGATAAAGTTATACTGAAGTTAAAACGCAGTAATGCACGTGTGATTGAGGGTGGATTGTCACTGACCAGTGGAGTGTCTCTTTCAGGTCACAATGATTAGTTTTGCATCTGGAAGACGCATTATTTCTGGGGTAAGATTCAAAGAAAAATGCCTCCTCATCAATTAAGCTTCTGTAGAAATAAAAACAGAATCTTTTATATTGCAATAAAATAGTCATGATGGTCTGTGCTTTTATTTTTAATATGTGACCAGGTTCCACTGTGGAGATGTCTTCAGCAGATAACCAGGGCACCAAACTACAGGACAAGAGCTCAGCTGCTGTTTCAGTCCCAGGCCTGCTCAGCGCTGATGCCAGCCAGACAAACTTCCACCAACAGATTGTTGAGCATCAGGCCTGTGAGGTCGTCTGCGTCTCGTTTGTGTCACAGTGACTCACAAGGCACTGCAGAGAGAGGCCAAAGCAAAGAGGGGTTTAGTTTGAGGGCCCTCACTCAGGCTCCCAAACCAGCTCTGTATCTTGGTTTCTCCGGGCTCATCCCATTCCTATCTGCCCCCATCCTGATGGCAACCACTCAGTCCTTTTACCCTGAAATTGCATTCGCTCAGTTGGTCTATGGAGCCTCTATAGTGTCCTTCCTCGGCGGTGCCCGATGGGGGTTTGCCCTCCCTGCGGGTAGTCCTGCACAGCCGGACTGGATGAACTTGGGGAATAGCGTGGTACCTTCACTGCTGGCCTGGCTGGCTCTGCTCTGCAGGGACAATATTGCAGAGGGAGCTCTCGTAGTTATAATGGGACTGGGCCTCTCTCTGCACTACGACCTGACCCTGCTGCCGGGCTACCCCTCCTGGTTCAAAGCCATGCGAACTGTCCTCACTCTGGTGGCCACCTTCTCACTGGTGGCTACTTTGATCATTAAAAAATTCTGCTTGGAGAAAAAGATCAAAGAAATTCAGGACTGATAAGAAATGACAGTTTGTACTTTGAGCCACGTGGACTTAATAAAGTTTTAGCGCAGATCTGAACACAGTCTGGATTTTTCATTTCACATTCCAACATACATTAATTCTTTTTACTTATACAAAAGCTTCAATCTGTTTTGGTAGGAATGCTACATGCATACATATAGGGCTTTTTCTGGCTTACAAATGCAATATGCAAATAATTGTTAAAATATCCAATTTAAAAACCAAGATTCTGCCATGTATGCAATGATTTTATCAGCCTTTCTCAAAACATTACTAGAATAATAATCTTTGCTGTGTAAGTATGTTTGAAAATGAGTCTTTCACGTGCAACTATGAGACAGTTGATGGCCGGTGTGACCCTGTGCATGTTTTTCTTCCAGACCTATTTCAATTAAAGCAGTTAGCTTATAGAAATAGGAACGCTGCTTTCTTAAGTTTTCCAAAGATTATATTTTACTGCATGTAGTTCTGCAATATGCCCCCAAATATCTTCACCCATTAGTTTCTCCGTCTTTATAATGACTCTATTCTGACTAACTGCACTATATACTTAAGAGGCCTTTATTTATCTGGTTAAAGAAAAGTGCTACGTCCCTACACAAGGTCAAAATAACACTCCAGTTTACCAGCTTGACGTTGATTGTAAATGTTTACTGTAAAATCATCAGTGCTGAGATTTATTCGTAGGGTTTAAGAAGAGTTACGCCACATGTTTCTTGTCCTGAAGGTATGCTACATAAACAGATGAACAACTTCTGGCAAACAGATGAAAAGGTCACAAAGAGTTTGTGACAACAGATGAACTATATTTACTTCAATTTTTATTTAAAAATAAGCCACAAAATATCAAATGAAATTCTTACAGAGCAAGTTCTGTCGTTTTCTTGTTTGTGCAGAATTCTTTTTCTTGCCAACTTATCCAGTCAACTCAGAAAGCATTTTCATGTTATTCTTTGTACAAACTGAGTGTGATGTTTACAGTTAAGATCTCTATATTTACCCAAACAAGACTGCAAGACTGCAATCATACCAGACTGATCTGTCATAACAGACCTCACACACATCATCTACACTGCGGTTCCTACAGGAAAACTAAGTGAATACATTTTAGCTCTCTTAAATGAAGAAAAGGGGGAATGTAGTTCGATTTGAGCCTAGCATGCAAATATTGGAGCTTAGTTGAAGTTTATGAAGCCTTAGAAGCAAACAATAAAAAGGCGTTAACGCTGCAGTGTCACATAAATAAACTGGCTGGTCTGCTTGACTCATCATCAACATACCATTAAGAAGGTAACACGTCTTTTAACATGTTCTGTATCGACACATCAGTGAGCTGAAATGCATGTAGAATGTAAATCGTAGTTATTTCTGGTGCCTCTGATGAGTGAAATGATAACAGGCTTCACTTGCTGGTTTTGAAGAGCAAATAGTAACTTAGAAGCACTATTATTTCTTACAGTTTCGTATATACAAAAATAAACCAGTGGAAATCATTGAGTTACTGCAACTGCACTGATTTGACATCAGTTGTGTGCTGTTCAAGTAGACCGTTATTTTTACAGAAATCATGGACCTTTGGTTCCATTATGAGTAGGCTCAAGTGGTTTGATAAATATTCCAAGTTCAGTCCTTTAAAACATTTCTTAGTAAATAAGAAGAGCAAAACTACAAATCAGTGCTGTCACATCTTATCCCGAAAAAAAGTGTTCACAGTCCACACAGGACTCTTCAGAAAATTCTCGGGTACATCCAGAGCAAGGGGTCCTCAGCAGTGAAAAAATATCCTCATCACAAGAATCATTTAGTTTTTTTAAATACACACACATGGGAAAATATGAGTGCTAACACTCTGATTGTAATGTAGAAATATCAAGTGAATTTAAAATATAAGGCTCAGACAAGTCCTGTAACAGTGTGAGGGGCAGCAGATTCAACAGTTTTGAAATGTGAAAGCAAACTTAGGACAGAAACACACAGCTATGTGTTTCTTAAGGTGCATTTTCTTCACTTTATGCTGTTTCCAGATGATCTGGGCGCTGATATGGACGTTTGGAATGCAAATATTTTAGAGCACGGCCAGCCCGCCGTCACAGCGACTGGTGATCATGTTGCCAACTTCAGTCCACGTGTCCAAGTGAGGATCATAGATCTCAACAGAGTCCACCGTCACTGGGGCGGAGAAGTCTCTGCTGGCGGCTCTCCCCCCGACGGCGTACAGCAGCCCGTTAACTGCTGATACCGACACTCCTGCGCGAGCTGTAGACATAGACGCCACCTCCATCCATTTCTCCTGTAGAAAAACAAGCACAGAGGGGAGGAGGGTGTAAGGAAAAAATACTGAAGGCTCTCTAGTGACCTGTGAAAGTAACAATTCCCTTTACCTCTTCTGGACAGTACTTCTCCACCGTCTCCAGTGCACCCAGCGCCTCATTCCAGCCGCCCACTGCGTAGATACAGTTATTGAGGCAGGCGACTCCCACATACGCTCGCCTTGTGACCATGACGGGCAGCGCGCTCCACCTACGGGAGATGGGGTCATACACCTCAGCTGATCGCAGCTCCATTCCTTCGTCACTGATTCCTCCGATCACATATATAAACCCTGGTAGGGGACATCAGCATACAGAAGTTTGTGAAGGAAAGTACTTCCCCTTACTGACATTGCACACTGGATGACATGCACTGATTTAAGGCACAAGTAGAGAAACAAACCTTGCAGCTCACAGCAGCCAAAGTAGTAACGCGGCACTGCCATGCTGCCGATCACCTCCCACTTGTTCTCCTCTGGATCGTATCGCTCCATCGTCTTCCCAATCTCAGAGCCGATCCAACCACCTGAACAAGAAACCCACAAACAAGGAGTTACATTTTTTTTTTTTTTGTTTCTGTTCCCTAAAAATCTCTAAATGATTGATTAAAAAACAAAGATGCATGATGAGGGACAACATCTGTTTTGTTTAAGTTAAATAAAAGTTTTCCTGGTAATCTACTTGTGTAATTGCTGGAAAATATTTTGTCCATTCCCGAAAGCACACCACAATCATTACATGTCTTCTTCCATAAATGGTGGAAAAGCCTGTTATTTTTTGCACTAACCGAGTGCATACAAAGCTCCATGGCAGGGGCAGACACCAACACCACAGCGGGGAAAGTTCAGAGACGCCACAGCAGCCCACTGCTTTGTCACTGGGTCGTATCGCTCTGTGCAGTCAAATATCATTGAGTCTTTCTCTCCTGGTGGTGAAACACAAAATCAATTCCTGTTCAGACAAAGGCTTCAAGGGGTTCTTTGAAACTGCACTTGAACACGACCATTAGAAAAGGTCTAAGCTCTCTTACCTCCAACCACATAGATCATGCCCTCCAGCACCGCCACTCCAAGCCCGCTTCTGGCCTGATGCAGGGACGACACAGTGGTCCAGTACTGGTTAAAGGTGTCAAAGCGCTCCACGCAGCTCAACTCCCGGCTGTCACTCCAGCGACCGCCCTGCAGCCGAGTGAAGCCTCCTGTGCAGGGGAAACAAGGCTCGATTAAATTAAAATTCTGATATTTCTCATTTGTAAAATATCAGGTACTGTCTTAATTCAATTCGAAACAATACATGAGGGAAGTGATCTGAAACAGAACCTATAGCGTAGAGGTATTTCCTGGCTTTCCTTCTTGGTCTCATCTTGGATGGTTGTAACTGACTGTACATCTTGTTTTCTTTGGGAGACTTTGCTACTTCAGTGTATTCCTTCAGCAGAGTCTGCAGTGCCACCCGCAGGCTGAAGTCTGTAACACCTTTATTGAATGATAAAGAAAGTTATAGCTGTTGTTTACAATGCACATTTTTTCATTTTACAGTATTATTGTGTTCTTAAATTATTTATGTGTAAAAATGTGAAAGGGGAGTGATTTTTTTGGAGTTTTCTTTTTTTTTTTTACCTTCTATGTACTTGAAGAGTCTCTGTGGGGAGAGCAGAGGGAAGCGGACTGGTTCCAACACCTCTACCACATGTTTTTTCCTCTTTGCTACATCCTGGAGAACCCAGTCCATGGCTGCAGTAAAAACCTGGTACTCATCTTCAATTCTCAGCTCTTCACTTCTCAGCAGCCTCACCATCTGATCCTTTGTCAGGCCCTTAAACTCATCTGTGACGCACACCTAAAGGGAGGCAGACAGGTAAAAAAAAAAAAACCTCAAGCATCAATCTTAAACCCTTAAATATCAGTCTAAGTCCCTTCAGGTAAAACAAAACATTCTGGGGAACAACTGGTGGAATTTGGTGAATGTGTTATAAATAATATCAAAATAAGAACAGATGAAGTGCACATCTTGTTTTCATTTCCAGAGAAAGTGACGTCTGGCATATTTGATTGTTTCATACCTCCAGAAAGTGAACGTGGATGTAGTTCTCAGTGAACTCCAGCATTTCCATGCAGGCAATCTGCTCCAGGAACTGAAAGATGCCCACACAGTTGGACGGGTCCATGTGCCCCTTGAGAAACTCTCCGCAGATTGACACCACCTCGTTCAGCTGCAGCATGTCCGCCGCCACCATCAGCTCCTGCACGTTCTCCACCGTCACACTGATCACACCTGAACGGAAAGGCAAATGGTAAAGGTACACAACATTATCGAAGACATTATAAAAGATGATAAGAGGGACATGAGGATTGATGCAGACCTGTGTATATGAAGTCCAGCAGAATCTCAAATACTTCAGTTTCCACTCCAAGGATCTGAACCTCCTCTTTATCCGCCTCCCTCATCCCGCCTGAAAACAGGGCGGAGAAGTAAGGGCTGCTAGCAGCGAGCACCAGCCGGTGAACTTTGAAGACCCGGTCGCCAACCTTCAGCCCAACATCACAGAAGTCAGTGCGCTGCCGCATCTTGTTCATCTGGGCCAGGATGATCCTGGCATAACGCTCTGAGGCCAGAAGAGCCTGCTCCAATGCCTGAGTTGCCATGGTAGCAGCAGCATCACCACCACCACAACAAGTGGATGTTGACACAGGGATGGTGGACATGGCAGCGGGGACAGGTCTGTTTTGACATGGAGGCAAGTGTTCC